CTACAAGATTGTGGGGACCAGTGTAGGTAACTATTGAGCTCATGGGCATAAAGGACAGACAGGAAGTATACTTGGCTGACATTGAAGATGAATGCATCTTAGGATTGGACTATCTACTACCGAGAAAGTTTGTAATTGATTTTAATAAAAAACGAAGTGGAACCAGGTATCGATATCAAGGCAGAACAGGAGAAAGACCAAGATTTGAAGCCAATGATTGATTTCCTAAAAGCAAGTGTTTCACACCCTGCTTGGGAGAAGGTGTCTAGTCTAAGCCCCGTGACAAAGCACTATTGGGCACAATGGGACCAGTTGAAGCTTGAAAATGGTATTCTTGTCCGGAGATGGGAAACTACAGACGGGAAAGTGACGACGTGGCAAACAGTTATACCGAGGAAGTTACGGGTAGTTGTGCTGCGTCGATCCCATGATAATTTAACAGGAGGACGTCTCGGAATTAAGAAGACATTGAGTCACCTACAACAAAGACTTTATTGGATAGGTATGAGGCGAGATGTGGAAGAATGGTGCCGGACATGCAGTACATGTAGTGCAAAAAGGGGACCCAAGCATAAAGGATGCCCACCTTATGAAGAGTTGCCTGTGAATTTGTCAGAGTTTGTGAAAGTGTTGGATGATATTCACCATCAAGTGCATTCAAACTTGAAAACGTCTGCTGATTCGATGAAGTTAACTTTTGATAAGAGATCTACTGAAGTCAGCTTTGAACCAGGAGACAAGGTGTGGTTGTATAATCACAGGAAGACCAAAGGGAAGTCTCCTAAGTTGTCTTCTCCATGGGAAGGCCCATATGACATAGTGGATCGTCTCTCAGACGTGACTTTCCGGATAAAATGTGGTCGGCGAGGTAAGCCAAAAGTGGTGCATGTCAACAGGCTTTGGCGTTATCACGGTCAGGGCATTTCAGTTGGGACGAAGTGGAAAACAGAACAAATGACGCTGCTGAAGACGAGCCACCTGAAGAAGCCACCGTCGAAGAAGAAACTCTACTCAGTTTTAAGGAAGGAAAC